GTGTGGGGGTGGGGGGTTGGTGGTGAGGTACCTGGGCCGGGCCGGGCCGCAGCGAGGGGGTGGGGCAGCTGCGGCGCCGTGGAATCGCTTCAGGCGGCGCCGGCTCAAGACTGTTCGGGGCACGCCAATCACGCTCAATCACGCTCAGCTGCGAGGCGAGGCCGTCGCCGCGCACCGGCCCCCGTGGGCCGGGGCCGCACCCGCAAAGTCGGTCTTGGGCGCCTCTGGCTCTGGCTCCGGCTCGGCCTTGGGCTCCGCCTCCGCCTCCTTGGTGGCGCTGGAGGCAGCCTCCGCCTTCTCGCGCCTGCAAGAACGGCGGGGCAGAGGCGGCAGCGACAAATCAGGGGTTGCTGCGGGCGGCGCGTGTACAGCCCAGGGCTGCGGAGCGAACGGGCCCGCCCGGCGGGGCGGCGGCGAGGCAACCGGCTGCAGCGAGCGTGTCGCGAGACGTGGGGGGGGGGGACTCACGCGGCCCTGAGGAGCGCCCTCCGCCGCTCGAGGGGGGAGAGGTTCTCCTGCGGCGCAGGCAAGCACGGCATGGGGGTTATGGCCTCTCAAGGGGGCGGCGCGACTGTGCAGGCTTGCAGAGCACTCAAGCGTGACGTGGGATGCTGGGGCGAACCGCTCAGGCCCGTTGCCTGAGCGGATACGGTTCCGCCCATCCCATTCGCGCGTCCAGAGGCTGCCCCCGCTGCCGACGGCATGCTTGGGTCGCGTGCGTGCGAAGCCAAGCGGCCGCCCGTCCGCCGCACCTCGCCGTCGGCCCGCGCCGGCGGGGCGAAGGCGGCGTCGATCGTGGTGAAGCCGCTCGACAGAGCAATCACGCTGGCCAGCAGCGCCGGAGCCACCCTGCTTGCCAGGCTCTGTGGATGTAGAGGACAGGGGAACAGAGATGAGGTGGCCGTACGGTCTGCCCATGACCGTGAGAGCGTCAACCTGCGCTCGGGCGCCTGACTGCGCTCCCCTGCCGGTTGTGCCGGCTGCATTCACCGTTGATACCGAATTACCTTGCCAAAGAATGCTACCAATTCGAGGAGATTCCTTGCGACTTGCCATCCCGATTCAGCATGCCTCAGTGGATGCAGACCCACCTTGTGCTCGCCAATGGCGTGGACCCGGACGCACCGCGCGGGCGTCTGAGCACCGCGGCTGACTCCATTGGCAATGCCCCGCTTCTGAGCTGTCGACAGCGCCATGTTCAGGGATCGGGACTGACCAGATCTTCTGACGATCGACAAACTCGGCAGCGTTTGAATGACGACGATGTCGATTGGAACGTCACTGTGTACAGAAATTCAACGCAACCGACATGGGGGGTGTCACCCGCCGCAGACACACGCCGTGCGCCGCAAGCAGCGCCCAGCCAGAACATGTGGCCGTCCCAACTGTCAGTGAAAAGGATCAGGAACAGTCCCACACAGAAGTGTCACGCCCTGTACGCACAGCATACACAGTGACGTGTGCCATGAACACATCGGACAGTGTGCTGCTGCATCTTGGTGGTCACCAACCGTACTGAGACTCATTTGACTCAAGTGCATCTAGCACGAGGGGTGGTACATTACATGATTTGATACTCAAGTGCTACAGCGAGCGTCTCCCCTCGCAACTCTGTGAGACTGTGACAGGGCCCCACAAGCCAGGGCCCAGCACGCGCGCCGCATTGGGGCCGCGCCTCAATAGCACCGCCACAGGCGCGCACACACAGATGGCACAGGTGGGGCGCCGCTCGCGGCCTGCACGGCCGCCAGCGCGCGCCAGGCGCCCGACGCGGGCGCACAATCGGGGTGCATGGTTCAAGGGCGCCGCAAAAAAGCCCACAGGGGCGGCGTGGAGACAGGCGGCCGGGGACGGCCCCGGCGCCCGCCTGGCCAGACGCCCTCGCTCTCGGTTGGCCCCATCCCATTCTCAGCACCATCACCATCACAAGGCCTCGTGCCTCCACAGGGCCCCAGAAGCCCCCAAAAAACTCGGCCGGCTGGCCCGCCGCCCGCACCCCGCTCTTGACCAAAGAGAGGCGTGGCCGTCATCACACCAGCAAAAAGTCGTCGTGGCGCGTTGGCAGCGCCCGCCTGAACACGCCCTCACCATCCCCGCCATACCCGCC